GTAGAGCTCACCCACAAAGGTCACCGTTGCTTTCTCAAAATTGCTACATGTCCCATGGCAAAAGGGAACTATTGAAAAATATTTTATTCTAAGATAAAAACATTGACTTTTATCATAGGTGTTATTAAACGATAAGCTATCGTCAAACTATATGTTTGTTTAGCCATAAGCATAAAAGATGAGTCATTCAATAGCATGGAATCCATATGAGATAACGTGTTGTGTAGCTCAATTCTCGTGTGCCCTTGAAGAGTTAAGAAAAAAACAAAAATAGTTATGAATTATAAAGATAAGACTAAGAGCCATAGTTGGTTTAACCTCTCATCCATGATCCAATTTCATGATCTATGCTTATATGATTTACAATAGCATGTTTTTAGTCATGGTATATAGAGTTTGATTTCAAAATCATATCCAAACATAACCATTGGAAGCAAAGACCTCAGACATTAGTGAAGGGCAAAAATATTAGGTCGAAAGTATAGCTCATCCTGGGTCTCACGAGGCCCGACCCGTGTCATACCAGTGGCCACGGCGCGAGGTGACGGACTCATGCGCACGAGGGAGAGATCGGTTTGGCTGGTCTTGGCCATTCCGGTCGAATCCGCTCCAAGCATTCATGGCCACACGATCAAAGATCTGATGGTCCCTGCTTCTCCTGCTAGAATCGGGTGAGTTTTGTAGGGGGGAATAAGGGTGTGTTTGGTTTGACGACAGGGTGGATTGGATATAGATATCCATAGATATCGGGATATGGATATCCATATTATCTATTTAGTTGAGCGGATGGGACGAGCCATTTTTTTTGTTTGGTTCAATGGATATGTGTTGGACGGGGCGAGCCATTTTTTTGTTTGGTTGGATGGACAAGGGAGATGCAGTCACCACCTATCCAAATTGGTGAGGTTACCCAAAAAACATGCACAACAGCAATACATGTACAAAACACATGACACCTTGATAAACACATGCATTGTCCGAACAGAAATTACATATGTAGATAATTAGTAGGTTTTAGAACTTCCTCACATTACATACAAAATATATAATAACCCAAGAGTACAATGTTTGATGGGTTACAAGCATGACTGCTACAAATATATAGATTAACCCACAGTGTATTGTCTATGGGGTACTAGCAAAAGAGCTCTAGCAGTAGTGTGCAACAAGGCATAACAGCCACATCTTCAGTTTTTAGGGAAGTGCTCGGTAATGAACTTTGCAGCCTAGTTCAGCTTGTGAGATAAAGACATAGAACAAAAGGCTCTAGCTTTGCTTGGACAGTCAACAAGATGCCCATGGTAAAATGATAGATGGGTGTCATCAAAGCCTGGAAAACTACAAACAGCATCATACAGACCTTCAGGAAGTTCGTCAAGCATTCTGGCTTTCTCTATAGCACAAGAGATTCTTTTCTCAAATTCTTTCATTACCTGTATCAGTCCATCATCTTCCCTCTCCCTTTCAGCTGTCTTTGCTCTTTTGTTAGGCCTGGTAACTGAAGATGTCGCTCCATCAGCAGCAGCAGCAGTATCACCATCTTCACCTTGTTCATTTTTACCAATTCCAGTTGCTAGAGGCTCATTTGATCCCTTTGCATACTTCCCTGTGGCCACAGTAGCACCAAAGATAGCAGCCATCTCACCATAGTACTCAATAGGCTTGTTGAAGAATTCCGCATCAGCTTTATGGTCCTTGCATTGCAATATATGTACAAACTATTAGACCAATTAGAAGGAAAACTAGAAGACAATATTGAAATAAAAATTATGGCAGCAAGGGTACCACAATATAGCTTGTATAATGCTCATGATCAAGTGAAATGGCATAGTTGACTTCATCCAAAGAGCACCACTCAAACTCCTGAGTTTGTTGATCCTCACATACTTCCTCTTCTTTGTTCTAAGATGGTTACTAATCTTCTCCCTATTCCTCTTGCACTTGAAATGGTCATTCAAAGCCTTGGCACAAGAGTTCAAATGGGTCTTCTTGAAATCTAATGATGTTTTACCACTAGCCACTACATTGGCAAGGTAAGTAAGCACGAAAGAAGACATTGTAGAAGGCGAAGTGACATGGCCACCACCCTCAGCCTGCTCCCCAGTAGCCTCAAATTCCATTTACCTATCATAATGTCATTCAAATTTAAAAATCAGATTGCAAAAAAAAAACAGCAAGCCATATCCAGCACGAAAAAAACAACAAGCCATACATATGTCCAGCACGAAAAAAATAGCAAGCCATATCCAGCAAGCCATACACATGTCTTCATGATAATACAAGGAAAATTCAGCAAGCCATACATATGTCCTTATTACAATAAAATAAAAATTCAACAAGCCACACATGTCTTTATTACAAATACAATGAAAATTCAGCAAATCAAAAACAATAAAAATTAATCTTGTAAATAATTTTGACGGTCTTGCCACATAGAATTGGCAATTCCCTGCCTAAAATTAACCATATGTTGATGCTCACTAGCTTGGCCACTCGATGAATCAGCATAGACGCATAGTTATGGTTTGGTATGTAATTTGTCTCTAATATGATAAATTCATCAAACCCATCTTGTAGAACCCAGTTGTGCATAATGCAGCAAGCCACCACAATATCTACTTGTGTTGAAAATGGAAAAAATGGGGGTGGCATCATCAAGTATTTTGAATTTCCGCTTGAGGGACCCAAATGCTTGTTCTACCGTCATACGAAGAGCAGAGTGTCTAAGGTTGAACAATTCCTTCTCATTTTGCACAGCTCGAAAAGGTGGTAAAAACATGGTTTGGCTCCATATCTCGCATCAACGAGATAGAATTTACCTAACATAAGAGGAAAATGTGGGTGATAGTGCTACTAACAAAGTATGGCATGTCAAATTGAGGTTCAAAAAGTTTGGGCTGAATACCTTGTGGTACATGAAGGCCATTTTCATGTTCTAAAGCATCTCTGAACACAAGAGCATCATGTGTTGTCCCCTCCCAACCCGCCAAAACATATGTAAACCGAAGATCAAAATCTACGGCTACCATTATATTTTGGGTACAATGGGCCTTCCTACCACGGAAGGAAGGCTCTATATCCTTGGAAACAGAGGCTCGTACATGTGTGCCATCGATAGCTCCAATAAAATCCTATTTTTAAGCAATACAACACATGAAACAAATTGAGCAACATACATTACAAAACTGAAATTAAGTTAAGGATCAAATTCACACCTTAAAGTAGGTATCCCATCTTGGGTTCCCTGCTATTTTGGTTGGGGTCTCTAGTGAAGGTGCCCTTATGTATTATGCTCTTAACTCACCCACCGTGTGAAGGACCAAGTGGAAATAACGACTAACAGTTTCACCACATCTATCAAAATTAGTGGCCACTAATCTATTCCTAAGGTTGTGTCCCACTGTATTTAAAAACATTGCTACTTGTTGTTCAACACACATATGTATGATGTCTTCAAGTAAGCCACGATCTCTAAACAGTTGACAAAAATGGAAGAATGACTCTCTTCTAAACCTAAGCATGTTAACACAGGTTGTGTCATTCTTTCAAATTTTATTGTTCAGATACTCAATTGTCATTCTATCTCTTTCTTCCATTGGACCATAGCTAATGCACTGTCTATGTTCACTCATTTTCCTTTTCCTAGACCTAACAACTATTGCCATCATGGAAAGCAACATATGAGCTACAGCTGCATAAATCAAGATCTTGGTCCTCTTGTCCATCAGCTAAACTGAAGGAAAAATCAAATCTGAACATAAAAAGACAATATTCACATATTACAAGTCCAGATCTATGGATATCCAAAAGCAAGAATGCATCGTCACTTCAATCAACTATCAATCCTATTTTCTATTCTCAGATTAACCAGATTTTTTTACCAAAGGATTAGGGAGGGGAATATTTAGTACATGCTCCTTGCTCCCTGCTGTGCGAGACGAACAACAAAGGGACAACAGAGATGTGCCGCCGGGGCCTGCTCCCTGCTGCTGCTGTTGTGCGACCAGCAAAGGAGATGTGCGGCCGTATGTGGCGGTGCTGTCTCCCGTCCGCTACTCCCTGCTGCTGCTCGTGTGTCCGACAGAGGAGATGTGCGGCGAGGAAGCTGCGTCGCCCACTGTCCGTCGAAGGGAGGTGAGTGGCGAGGAAGATGCGACCGGTGGGGAGATGTGCCTAGTAGAGGGAGTCAAACGGCGGGGGAGTCGAATGACGAGGGCAAGGCGAGGAGCGCCGCCCTGAGCAGAGAGCAGAAGCAGAGAGAGAGAGGAGTCTGGAGGGGAGTGATGACGGTGAAGATAAGGATGGGAGGTGAGGAAAGTATGTGCGCGCTCCTGCGCTTGTTTCTCGCGTGTCCACGTCGACCGTGGATAAGCTTGTTTGCTCATTTTCTGGTGGCAAGTTATACACCATCTATGAGGAATATATCATGTTCTGCATATCTATGTCCAACTTATCTATGGAACAAACATGTCTCGTTCACAGATATCCTTGTTCCATCCATACTATAAACCAAACACATCCTAACACGAGGACGCGTGCGAGGCCAGAGTTTTGTAGGGGAGAATAAGTCTTTATTTAGTTCGCAAAAAGTTTTTACAAAAAGTGTTACAGTACCTATCATATCGAATCTTGCGATACATGTATGGGGTATTAAATGTAGACGAAAAAAACTAATTACACAATTTAGTTGAAAATTACGAGACAAATATTTTGAACCTAATTAATCTATGATTAAACAATAATTACCAAATAAAAACTACCGTAACCTAAATTCTCAAATTTCGCAAGCTAAACACGCGCTAAGAGGGGGACGCGCGCGAGGCCAGCTGGATTCACGCGCCCTCCACCTCTTCCCTCCTCCGCCGCCTTTTGCGCCAGATTCGCCGGATTCGCGCCCTCGACCCTCTTCCCTCCTCCGCCGCCTTTTGCGCCAGATTCGCCGGATTCGCGCCCTCGACCCTCTTCCCTCCTCCGCCTCCTCCGCTGCCTCCTAAGCCACCATGCCTCCTCCGCCGGGCGATTGCTCTTTCACCCCGTCGGAGCTCCTCTCCTTCCTCCGTCTTAAGATCGCCGGCGAGCCCCTCCCTGCCACCGCCGCGGCACATTTCCACGACGCCGACATCTACACCGCCGACCCGGCCCTGCTCGCGACGCTCTTCGATCCGGCTCCGGAGAAGAAAGGGGAGAGCGGCTCGTGGTTCTTCTTCACCCACGTGAGGCCCAAGAGCAGCACCGACAGCCGCAAGTCGCGACAGGTTGCCGGTGGAGTGGGCACGTGGCACTCCGAGCGCGCCCCCCGCCGCGTGCTCGACGACGAGGGCAATTGCGCCGGACACAGCCAGTATTTCTCCTACAAGCTTAAGATCGGGAAGAACTGCAGCGAGAGGACCGAGTGGTACATGTTGGAGTTCAGCGACGGCCAAGAAGCCGATCACGAGCGCGTCCACGGCGGCGAGCCCCAGCTGGTTCTTTGCAACATCTACAAGGCGCATACCCATTCGCGCAGCAGCTACGGATCCACGTCGACACCGTCATACTCTGCATCACCGCGCAAGAGGAAGGCTGTCGGTGAGGCCTCTGCTCCCCCCGTCAAGGCAAAGCGGCAGCTTTTCGATTCCTCTGCGCCAGCTTCAGCGGCCAGGTCGCAAGAACAGGTCAGGTCTACAACGCCATCGAATCTGATGTGTCAGAGGAAGATCGGTGACACATTAGACTGCATTGCGCTGATGACCAAGGCAAACGGCGAGGCAACAACGTCGCAGTTGAAGATCGGTGATAAATCAGTTTTTTCAAGATTTTGGCCTGAACCAGAGAAGTCGACATCAGACTGCATTGCGCTGATGTCCAAGGCAGACGGCGAGGCAACAACGTCGCAGTTGAAGATCGGCGATACACCAGATTTTTCAAGATTTTGGCCTGAACCAGAGAAGTCGTTCGACTGGGGCTACACGACGACCGGCGGCGCTCTTCCTACGCTCGAGAACTGCTCCCGGACAAATGTCAGGGACGTCGGCGATGTGTTCTGCGGGCAGGATACTTGGCCCTCTGCTTTCCATAGCAGTAATGACACCACGACGTTCGTGTGCGGTATGCCCTCTGCTCCCGTTCTATCGCCGCCTGCGTTCGTGTGCGGTATGCCCTCTGCTCCCGTTCTGCAGCCGCCTGCGTTCGTGTGCGGTATGCCCTCTGCTCCCGTTCTGCCGCCGCCTGCTTTCGTGTGCAGTATGCCTTCTGCTCCCGTTCTGCCGCCGCCGGGGGAGGCGTCTTGGTGGTGCGGTAGCCACGACGTTCGGAGCTACTGATCATGTGACTAGAGGTTCCTTTTCTATCCACTGAAGAGTGACTGACAAAGATTTTGGGCAAAGTTCTTCGAGTTCCATTTAGTTGCTTGGAGGAGTTGACATGTTTAATTACCTATTGCATTGACTACCAAGGCCTTGATATATGTGTGTTGACGGCTATTATTAGATTGATTAATCTTGTTTACTACCATACTAGTGATGTTGCTGTAACAGCCGAGAGCTGAAACTTTTGTTGAATCTGAAACTTTGGGTGCTTATTCAATTATAACTGCTATACAATATTTCTTGTGTAAATGTGTGCATCTCTGCTTGCACATGCTAATTGCCAAAAGCCTTGGTTTGGTGTACATGCTGAAGGCGGAAGCCGATGCCAGCCTTCACTGTCATCAAGTTCAAACTTTTAAGTATTTGGATCACGTTTGAATAAAAATTCTCGAGTCTAGACTCAAATTCTATCTTGACGAATTTAAGTTATGGGAGTGCTGAAACAGTAAGGGCATGTTGGTCATTCATGCCATTGGTTTTTAGGCCATGCTAGAGGATATCTGTAGCTTGATTCTAACCTGCAAATGTTGGTTCCAACAAATGGTACTTATTGCAAATGTTGGTTCCAACAAATGGTACTTATTAGGGACGATTCAAATTGTTATGACCTTTCATTTATGGACCAGTCTTGAAGGGATATGGCTGTCAGGAGCTTTTAGCATTTAGGATTTTGGATCATTAGGTGGATTATCAATCTGACATATGATAGTTGCTCTGTGTTAAAAAAAGATGATAGTTGCATTTTATCCTCATGGTGGTTATGTGGCAGGGGAGACAAATCCGTTGAGTTGGGCAATGAGGATGAGGGCTGAGCTTTATGTGGCACAGACATTGGAGTGCTGCAGTAGCAAAGGGAGGGCACTCAATCATGACCTGCATGCATACAGGGTCGTCTTTGATGTGGTAGGTTTTTACTTGTTCGCATGAGTTGCTTCTCATATCTTTCATACAAAAGCTTGGATCCTTTTGTGTTTTTACTGTGGGTCAATTTTGTAGGATGGTAACCCAAGACTGTCATGTTTTGGTCTGACGAAGAACAGCCGGGATGGAAAGAGCTACAGTACTAATTTGGCCTTCACGCCTCCTGAGGATCTTAAGACAGGTAAATGTGTCACATACTAGCAATAGTATCCCATGAAACATTTTGGCAATGTGTCTCTTTCTTGATTTTTAACTGTTATATGTTCTCAGGTAGAGTAAGTCCTAAGAGTGTGGTTTACAGTTTTGGCACTGTCTTGCTTGATCTCCTGAGTGGAAAGCACATTCCACCAAGTCATGAAAGTTTTCCTGCTCTATTTATGCTTTTAACATATTCTACAATTATAATAAGTTGGCACTGTAGTGCTATTAACATATTCTACATTTATAATAGAAGTAAATTTTACACTATCCTTTTCTCTCCTTTATTTAGTTCTTTGTGTGTGGATATTTAGTTTAACTACTTTTTGCCATTGGTCTATTTTTTCCTAGGGAAACGGGTTGACATTACCTTTTCTTTTCCCTGTAGGCACTCAGACCTTATAAGAGGTGTTAGATGAACTTATGGATCTTAAACTAGCTTTTCTAGGAAAGTTTCAGTGCATTCTCCCTGTCGAAGATCCAAATATTTCAGGTTTTCCCTTTGAAGTTTGCATCTTGCTCCGTGTTTTAATTATGCTTTGAGACCTTGTTTGTAATGTAGGAAACCAGAGCCACCAAAACCACGGGCAAGACTCTATGAAGGGAAGACAACACTCCCATTAAGTGTTGCAACTGCAGGAACTCCAGATGTATGAAGTTGTAAGTCAGATTCTATCCTCAGCTTGATAAGAATAAAATATTGCAAAGGATGTTTTGTCGTGTGGATAGTGTTCTCCTTTTATCAATGTGGATTCTTTGACTTGATGTAAAAAAGGCAAGGAACTGAAAGAACATTGTTTGGATAGTCAAAAATATGCTTATCATTCTTGGACAGAGGGATTATTTGATATTTATATGGCATTATAGACGCGTATCTACTTGAGCTATGGCATTATTATTGAAATTTCTTCACTATTTCAAAATAAAGTTCACTCAAATGGTGCTTAGACTAGAGTTATAAGCTATGTATAACACACTCAATGGCGAATATAGCAAACTACTGATGTTGTTTGGCGGCACAAACAATGGCACGTAGCTGCAGGGCACACCAGTGCGCTATCCTCTGAGGACCTCCTGTAGATGGAATGACACTGCATCGTGCACAAGTACTTTCTTCCAACCTCCACCAGTGTTGCAAGTTCTCAACTATCTGTTTTCTCCCATTCCCCTTACTCCATGCGCGTCCTCCGTGTGTTTGTGGAAACACCTTTGTGCCTATGCCCCTGCAGCGATCATGCTCGGATAGTATAAGGCTACATAATTCAGCATTCACCCTGCCTTCGGTTCTGATGCTGAAACTTTGGCCCTCTTTTTGGTGTAGAAAAATTAGTCATTGCAACAAAGAAGTTCTGTTCAGATTTGCCTTTAGCAGGCCACAGATTTTCCTCTGTCCATGTCCAAGCCATAGCAGTAGCAGCCCTGTCCTCTCAATCAACCTCATTGATTTGATTTTATTCACGTTTCAGGAGGTGGCAACTGCTTAACGAAGCAGCGACTTGGACGCTCGGCGGCGGAAGTTTGAAGCACGCACAGTTCTGCCCGCGCAGCCTTTTGCTGAACAGCAGCTGCTAATCCCCTTGAAACCCAGACTGCGACGCTGGCCCCTACACATGCCGCCAAGTCGACGCCACGCCGATATGCTATCCTCCTCTGTCGCTTTTCGTTTTCAGCCCTCCCCGTGCATTTTTATTGCGAGTGATTGATGTAAAACTAAAGTTCAATAAATCTTTTTTTTTCTATTTCTATGTGGCAGGACGAAGTGGAGACCTTCACCGCCAGTGTCAACAGCATGAAGGACGCCAACATGCTCCTCCCCTTCCTCCCTATCCACAGACCATCCCCTCCCTGAGTTTGGTCAAGCACGCACATAGGAAGCCTTTGTCTCATTGTGTTGATCGAAAATGTTGTATAAACATGGAATACCTGAAGTTGTTTTGTATAAACAAGGATTTGCTTCAACTCACTATTATTACTCTATTATTCTCATTCATTGTAAATTCCAGGTGATCCTCTAAACAGGCTTGATTAAAAGCAATAGCAATGGAAGGGAGATTCTGCCATTAGTCCATAAACCTACATAGATTTGAGTTTACAAAAAAAATTGTAATTAATGCTATTTTTATAGATATAGAATACTTTTCTGTTTCTGTGAAATTCTCTTACACTGACAAAGCCAACTTTTACAGCTAGCGCCTTATTTATACTGTCTACTGGCACCTTATGTGCTTTATCCTATTTCGGTGATGCTGTTTATTTGTCTTTGTCCTTTAGTGCATTGCAGAGTGAAGCAGATGTACCTGGGATGGTTGCACGGAATGTTTAGACAAAATATTTTCCTTAAGATATGGAGCGTCACTTCTGCCAAGCTACGGTGTGTGTAACTATCTCCTTCCGACTTGCTATCTAGACATGCCCACCTACTCTTACCTAGCTCACGTATTTTAAAAATATCTAACAAAGTGACCAATGTTTGTTCTTTGTGAAAACTCCTTGCTTAGTTGTTAGTTCTCATGCATACTGATGATCTCAAGTCTCCATTGTATCTTTATCTTTCAGGCAATTATTCAAGTTGGACTGCTCACAGACACGAAGGAAATCAGGAAATTAGCCTGCAAAGCTACCTGAACGTGTTTCCAAGTGCATGTTACTCGCAGTTGCTGCTCATTATTTGTTATCCATTTTGGACCCTTGGAAAACTTGGTTTTATCTGTTACCATTATTTAACTCTGATTTTCTTTTATCCATTTCTAAGTACACGTTCAGGTACATTTCTAAGTGCATCGCTAAGTACAATGCATACTATAGATTTTTATGTAATTTCATCTTTTTTTCGAATACGTAGGAGAGCTGCGTATCATTATATTAATAGAAGAAAAAAAATAGTCTTACAGGGACTAAAACACACAAACACCCACACCCACCCACTATACCATAGAAGCTAAATCATCGGAAAAGAGTTACAAGGACGACCACGAACCCCCCCCCCCCCCCCCTCCTGCAGATATCTAAGTTGCAGTTCGGACAGAGATTAAGGAAATCCCCTTAGCCTCTGCCACACTCCACCAAGCAGCCTCCTCCTTGGCCAGGTACAGGACCGAGTTAACATTTGGGACTGCTCCGTTGAAAACACAGTCATTTCTGTGCCGCCAAATGCTCCAGGCTCCTAGGATGACTAGAGAATTCAAACCCCTTCTTAGATCACCTTGAACAGCACCATCAATCTTTCTCCACCAATCATCAAAATTTCGATCAAGCAGGTGTTGGAGCAAGGGTTGCAACACCAAAATGAGAGAGGAAGGAGAACCAAAATATTCTTGAAAAACACACCACGAGAAGGTGATGAAGATCTTCCTCTTTGGTCACACAGACACATTTTCGGATGAGGGAGGCCCCTCTTTGCTAACTCTGTCTGCAGTCCAAAGACCTGTTATGGGCCACTAACCACATAAAAATCTGCATTTTGGGGGCGCCCAAGTTTTCCAAGTTCTCTCAAAGGGTTCAAAAGAGATGGCTCCATAAAAACAGGCGGTGTAGGCGCTCTTTGTTTGTGTACTTGCTCAAGAGGAAAGCCTCCATAAATGTTTGTCGTGGATGCTCTCATTCAGCTCCACCCTAGATAAAAGATCCCAGAGATGGATATACTAAGATAGAGCAGCCAAGCACCAATTTCTCCCTGTAAGTCCTCTATCCACCTATTCTCTCGGAAGGGCCTCACTAACGAAGACGTTTTACTCAATCGCCTTTTAGGAACCGAGCAAAAACAAGAGGAGCAATCTCTCGGATTCCACGACCATCCACCATTTGTCCTTCCGATGTGGTATTAGCCCCACTTCCCACTTCTGCATTTAATCATGCGACCGAGATCAGCCCAATGACCTCCTTATCGACTGGACCGGCAGATTTGCCCAAGGTTTGTTTGGTACACTACCGCTGCAGCCAAGGCCATCTTGCTTTCAAGGCAATCCCCAATGTTTTGAGATCGCTTATTCCCAAACCGCCTAATTTCGAGCGACAAACCTTGGGCGAGCAATAAGACAATGACCCCGCTTGCTTTTTTTCTTCCCATCCATAGGAAGGACCTTCTAATCTTATCGATGGCTTTTTGAGAGCCCAAGGCGGAAGATCAATTGCCATAGCCACATAAATTAGGATACCTGAAGCACAAATTGCACTGAGTCACCCTACCAAAGACGTGTCATCAACCGCGCCTTCCGGCCGGAAGTTGTTCAACAACTTTATCAATAATGGGTTGGACCTGCTCCTTGGTCAATTTTTCATTGGATGAGGGGCAAACCCAGATACTTGCAAGGGAAATCCAAAACCTCACATGGCAAAGTTTTGAATGAGAGTCGATCCTCCTCAAAACACAAATGAATAGGCAAAACATTGCTTTTTTCCGAACATTGGTTTTAAGGCCCGAGGCTTCCCCAAACAAATGCAGGAGCTGTAAGGATAAGTTTATGTCTCGCTGCAATGGGCTAGAGGAAAGGGCGACATCATCAAGATAAAGAGAGAACACTGTCTTTGAATGGGTCGCCTAGATAAGGGTCAAAGCGACCCGGCATCCGACCCTTGTGAACATCAAATTCAAGACATCCATAACTAGAATGAAGAGCATGGGAGATAGAGGGTCTCTCTGTCTCAATCCCCTTCTATGCTTTATACTTTCTCTCGGTATGCCATTGAGGAGCACCTGTGTGGATGAAGTAGATAGAAGGTGATGAATACAGGCCCGATCTTCCGAGAGGTAGCCGGTAAGTTCGATTTGTGGAGATCTCGACGTTGGCGATCCGGCTTCAAATCGGACACGATTCAACCCGCAACCGTTACACCATCGCTCCGTTGGTTATCAACCAAGCACAACTTGATTGACCTCGCCAAAAAGGCTTTTCCCGCAAGTTTAATCAAGAGCACAAGCAAGAAGGTAAAACACTTAATCGATATTGCAAATATGAATGACGCGAATATCAATAGAGGGTTCAAGAACTCGGTTCCAAAGGACTAATTGACACGTGGAGGAGATCAAGAACGGGGCCCCGGATCATCGTAAAAGGATTTGTCACCACAGATTACAATGAACGATTCGGTTTCTCGATAGAAAACTAAACTCTAAACAAAACCCAATTGTGTAGCAAGCAAGCGGCGGGCGGCTGTGTTTATAGTCTAAGACTCGACCTAGGGTTGGGGACGGCCGGGGTTGGGCGCCCACAACTTGGGCTTAAGGTCCGACACGATACATGGCCAAGTTGGCCCAAATAGGTGACGCAGCACCTTGCCGTGGTCACACAGAATGATCCACGGACCTTCTGGAGCTGGGACCAGATCCAAAACGACGGCGTCGTCGTCCCTTTCCAACGCATCCAAGAACGGCCCGTTTCGATGTCGTATGAGAAAGTTATGACCAAAAAAGATGACGACGTGTCCGCTGAATCCGAGGGCGACGTGGCAATGTGAGTTGGGAACGAATTGCAACTTGGGGAAGACCATGGCGTCGGTGTGTCCAGCGTGGCGATGTCCTCATCATCCTCCCTTCTCGAATTGAGTCGCCCTCGACTCCATCTTGGCGATGTCCTCATCATCCCTCCTTCTAGAATTGGAGTCGCCCTCGACTCCATCCCATCATCATCGAACTCCCGCAAAAGGTTAGTGACAAAGCAGCAATGCACCGTACATAAAAGGTTGACAAAACATAGTATAACATGGTGCATCAGATTATCACATAACTCAAGAAGAGAGAAGTTGTAGCAAGAAAAGCACCTCCTTTTAACTTAATCCTATTATTTTTAGCAATGTCTGTTGGAGGTTTATTTTAATCTCATTAGCATGTTTAATAATATCCGTAGGAGACAAAGGCAACAATGTAATTTTCTTGTCCTTATGTATGATAGTGTATGTATTAGTTCTACCATGGTGTAAAGCATCATTATCAAATTCCCATGGTCGACCTAACAAAATGGAACAAGCTTGCATAGGGACAACATCAAAATCAGCAGAGATCATGATAAGAGCCTCGTGAAAAAGCTAATGCGTCTTTGATTTAGTTACCTTAGTCTTACCACTATTATTGAACCAATGAAGTTTATATGGATACGAATGTTGTCATGTGGTCAAGCCAAGCTTGTCAACCAAATCTGAACTCACCAAGTTGTTGCAACTCCCGCCATCAATGATAGTGAGAACACGACAACCCCGCACAATGAGATACATGTGGAACAAATTGTGGCGTTGGATCTTCATCTCTTCTTCATGTCCCACACGTGTACTCAACACACGCCGCACAAGAAGGCTAGGTAGGGTAGTCGCGGTAGCAGCCACTTGAGTCAATGATGATGGCCTCCTTGTCTTGATCGCCTCGGTGGGATCTGCATCAATGTTAGCAAACAAGGGCTAAATCATCTTCAACATCACTAGCACTTACATATCCATCCTCGGTAGCAATGAAAGCGCGACGATGGGGCACTCCTTCATGACATGTCCCATGCCTTTGCATCGGTGGCAAATGATTTTAGAACTGGACGAGGAGGAGCTAGTAGAAGCACCGGAGTTCCACCTTTCTTCATTGTGTGGAAAGCGCACATTAGACAATTTACTTACCCGGAAGAAAATGGAGGTGTAGATGGTCGTGGTGCAACAGAAGCTTGGGCGTCTCCGGCTCGGAACGTGCATTGAAAATTCCTCCCATTGTGAGAGACCTGAAAAGGTGGTGTTGTTTGCGCCCCTGTGACTTCTCGTTCTACCTTAATAGCAAGATGATACAATTGGGAAAAATTGCGCCATTCTTTGTAATCAAGTATGTTACGTATATCATGGTTTAAACCACCAAAAAATCTAGCACTAGCATCATCATCA